AAAGCAATAAAAAAGTGCAATAACTGTATGGAAGCAAACAAAAAATACAAACTGTCGTATTGCGTGTCACATGTGGCTTCAGACCCTAATTGCCCAAGCTACAATTATCATTTGGAAATGCTCAAGAATAAAATAGAATATAATTCATAATGTTCAGACCGCCACAAGAGGAAATATTGGAGCAATTGGATGAAATGGGTATGGAGGAACAGGGGACTCTTGTAAATGAGGTATTATTAAAAAAACAAATTTCACTAAAAAACAAGGTCATAAATATACTACATTTGAATATCAGAAGCGCAAAAAAAAATTTTGATGAATTACTTTTATTTATAGAATCCTATCAACTGTACTTTTGTGATATATTTATTTTGGGTGAATGTTTTCAAATTTTGTCTTGTGATATGTATAGTATACCTGGATATAATACCTTTTATAACAATGGGGATTTTAATAAAAATGATGGTTTACTAATTTTTGTCAGAGAAACGCTAAATATTGATGTGAATCATGTAAAGCTAAATTTATCACAGGCAACCATTAGTAGAATAACTTTTGAGCACTGCGGTTTATCCTTTGGGATAACTGCAGCATATAAACCGCCTCCGATAGCTGAACCTATATTTCTTAATGATCTAACAGAATTTTTTGAGCATTCTTTAACCAAAAAAATCGAAATTTTCACTGGAGATTTGAATATTAATATAGAGAATATACAAAACCCGATAGTAAATGAATACCTTTCAAAAATGGGACAAAGTGGTTTTGTATCCTATATAAACTCTCCAACCAGGGTTACTCATGAAACATCTACATGTATTGACCATTTATTTGTTAGAAAAAAACTAAAAATAAGCAATTTAAAATTCAAATCATTTATATTGAATACTGATATAACAGACCACTATCCAATCATGCTGAATGTTAATTATAATAACTATGCTGATGCTGATACTCTTAATAAATCTAATGAACCAATAAACTACTATAACCATATAAACTATAACCTCTTAAAACAACAATTGGCAATACAGGATTGGTCAGCAGAAATCATGGGAACGAAAGACCCTGAAAAAGCCACAAATTCTTTTTTAAACATATTCAAGAAATCCATGCAAAATTCCACTTCAAAACGCCCTATAATCCCAAATCAAAGAAAAATTAAAGAATGGATTACAACCGGTCTGATTACATCCATAAAACATAGAGATAAATTAAAGAATAAACTAAAAAAAAATTTTACCGAGGAACAAAACACGATTTATAAAATATACAGAAACAAACTAAACAACTTAATTAAGAAACAAAAATTTCATTTTTATAAGAATCAAATTGAAATTAATAAAAACAATATTAAAAATATATATAAGATCATAGCGGATGCAACAAACGAAAAAAGGAAAGTGAAGTCTTCCAATCATATGTTTGTTGATGAAAATAATCACAGCTTTTCAAACACACTCGAAATGGCAAATTTTTGCAATACATATTTCAATAACATTGGTGTGGAAATGGAAAAAAAAATAAACAACCCGCAATACCCTACCACTATAAAAGAAAGCCTTCAAACCTCTTTATATTTAAGACCAGTTACAGAAAGAGAACTTATAAAACAAATATCTACACTAAAAAACGATAGTGCTCCAGGAAAGGATGGAATTTCCACAAGGATTATTAAACATGTACATATGGAAATAATCAAGCCCCTAGTGTACATTATTAATTTAATTTTTGAAACAAGTATTATACCTAGTCATTTTAAGGAATCAGTGATTACCCCAGTCTACAAAAATGGAGAAAAAAATAAAATTCAAAATTATCGCCCCATTAGTTTGATAAATAATTTTGCAAAACTTTTCGAAAAGTGCTTAAAAGACAGACTTGTAACATTTTTTAATTGCAATAATGTACTGTCCCCAAATCAGTATGGTTTTTCGGAGGGACTAAGTACGGCAGATGCTATGTATTCCCTGGTCTCAGAAATAACAAGCAATCTCGATGAGAGTAAAAAGGTCATAGCGGTGTTCATGGACCTTGCGAAGGCGTTTGATACCGTGCCTCATCAAAAACTCCTTGATGTTTTATCACATTATGGTGTTCGAGGCATGGTATTGGAACTGTTTAAAAACTATCTCTCCGAAAGAGATCAATTTCTGAAGCTAAATCAAACACTGAGTCACCCCTTGAAAATAAAAATTGGTATCCCACAAGGCACCATCTTAGGACCCATTCTTTTCATTACCTACATCAATGACTTACTAAAATTGAACATAAATGGTAAGTTAATATCCTATGCTGACGATACGGTTATTATCTTTACTGGTAAGACATGGGAGGAGACAAAAGAGAGAGTGTCGAGGGGTTTTGGCATCGTCAAAAAGTGGCTTGACTCATTCAAATTGTCGCTCAATTTATCCAAAACTAATTACATAGCCTTTTCTGTGACAGGCGCAAATAGACCTAATTTTATTGAAATTCAGACAAGCAAGGAGAAGAACAGTCATATATCAGCAGTGAAGAAAGCTAAATATTTAGGTATAGTTGTTGATCAGCATTTAAAATGGGTAGACCATATATCTTACCTAACAAAGAAATGTCGCTTCTTGATTCATAAATTTTATATTCTAAGAGAATTTCTCAGTACTAGAATGATCATATTGGTGTACAAATCTCTGGTAGAATCATTGTTGCGATATGGCCTTATTGTGTGGGGGGGAACATATAAAAGTAACTTGCAACCTCTAAATGTAATACAAAATTCCATCTTAAAAATAATGTTCAGAAAAGAAAGGCGCTACTCAACTAAATCACTATATGACAACAACATTTGCAACATAAACTGCTTATACATACACTCCATTTGTACATATATACATAGAAAAGAAACCCTAAAAAAATTCGTACACCATCATCATCAAACCAGAGCTAATGTTAATAGACACCTAATAATACCTCAAAATAGAAAAACAATAAATTTAAAATTTGCTAATTACTTAGCGCCAAAATTTTATAATATGATACCAAAGAAAATCAAAGAAATAGGTAGGATAAAAATGTTTAGTGAGAAGAGCAAAGTATTTATTGTAGATAATTATGAATAATTTTCTAAACTTATGTCATAGGATAAAAAAAAAAATAGGATTAAGTTGCCATAAACAAATAATATTGTACTTTAACAAACCCATACAAAATATAATGTCCTCTAAGATAAACCTTTATTGTAAGAACAGGTTGTGTTTATTACTATATTATAAATAGTTAAGAATTTACTTGGTGCATACAGAGGTATTAAACCTCTAGGTGCCAACAAAATAATTTTTAAATACAAAATACATGCATTGTGAAAGAAAAAAAAAATGTATTGTAAAAAATTATTAAACCTGAATAAAGATTATTATATTATTATTATATAAGCAGTGTTACCATGTTAGACTCTGAGATAGGGCCTGTATAGTGGAGTCATTTTTTTTTGTCTGGCATTTTGAGAGGTGAATGTGGCTAGTTGCTGATGAGAATATCAGTGGTTTTAATGCCTACCGCCTGTTCGAAATGTCCACAGAACGTTTCGTCGGAAAACTCGATTTCGAACTGTGATTACCGTCTGGCGATTTTTCAGCGTTATTTTCACAACAAAACCTTTTATTCTCTCGATTGCCAGACAAAAAGTAAACACGGAAGTTTCTTTTCTTTTCTCTTGGAAGTTGACACCCATTCCCACTTTTTCAGCTATTGAAAAGAATCTGGTATTTTTCATGAGTGAATTATTTATCATTGTCAATCTTTTATTTAGAAGCCAGAAAAGTTGAGATCATTGAAAAAAAATTCTTCATGTAAATCAATTTTTTTCTCCTGCAAATTTCCGAACAGGAGTCATCAAAATCATCCATATTCTCATTAGCTAACTAGCCACAATCAACCCTCAAAATGCCAGACAAAAAAAAAATGACTCCACTAAACAGCCCCTATCTCGAAGTCTATGTTTTTTTTTTTTTCAAATCTCGATTCTGTAAGGCTGAGGTTATCTCAATTATGATCTCAGAGGGCCGAGGTTATACGAGTCCGAAGGGCCTGAGTCATGCGAACTCGAAGGGCCGGAGTTATACAAACCCGACAGGCCGGAGTTATTTTAATCATGAGCCCGAAGGTCTGAGGTTATACGAGCTCGAAGGGCCGGAGTTATACGAACCCGTTTATTGTACACTGATTTTAATAGTTCGGACCGTAATCTTTGGAACAAAAAGACGCAATTTTATATCGACTGTCAAAAAAACCAAGGCCTACTTTGAAATTTCAATTTTTTGACGTTTGTTGTATCATGAGCAACGTTGCCATATGTTTTTATCAAATCTCGATTTATAGGTTATTTTAAACCCAATCAAAAGCCGGGAGTACTCAAAATTTAAAGCCAATCAAGTGCCAGGAATAATCAAAATTTGAATCCCCAAACCGAAAAAAACAAAGGGCCAGAGTTATATGCGAGCCCGAAGGGCTGGAATTATATGCGAGCTCGAAGGGCCAGAAATATACGCGAGCCCGAAGGGCTGGAGTTATTTTAATCAAGGGGCCCAGTCTATAATTCTATTGGTCAGCGGATAATTTGAAGCCAATCTAAAATCGGGAATAGAATATTCAAAATGTGATTTTTAGTCGATATTCCGAGTCTCAGTTCTCTCCGATGTACCGGATTATTGAGGGCATGGGCACCCCAAAACAAATTTTGCCTGCTGCGCAGTGGTTACCTTACCGTAATTCATTATTTTCTAGCCTCCTCACTTGAAATAGTCACGAGCCGCCACTGCGTGCCACTGGGATATCTTCTGACTACTCTGGTGGCTTTTGTAATTTTTTTATAAATTACATAAAAGAAAAAAACAATGATAGAGAACCAAAACAAAAATATGGTTGAATTAGTAAAAAAATTGTTTGTTTAAATCTATTTTGGTGCATTATTTCATCCTCCATTCTGGAGATAAAATTGAAATCAAAATTATCATTCTTACCTCCAATAAACTTTTGAAATAAGGACTACATGCCGAAAGGACCATTTTGTGAGCCTTGCAAGTTTGTCCTTCGCAAGCGAGAGTGACATCGGTGAAACTTTTTTCGTCTCTCAGATGCCTAAAGGACGAGACCATATTGCTTTGGAAATCGTTCCATTTCAAGAAAAACTGTTGTTGATCGGCCATTGCTATTGTGTAATCTGCAAGAAAAAAAAGGGATTTTTATTATGTTGATATGTGAAGTCTCTGGTTGACCCTTTGTGAAGAATTTGTTTGTGTTGCAGCTTTCGCCTGTTTCGTATCCATACGGTTTCAATGATTGCTTTTAGTAAAGCTAATGTGAGTACTTACTGTATATCTAGTCAAACCTAAAGTAAATGGTTTTAGTTTCAATTTTTTTCCAAAAATGCTGAATTCGTCGACTATCACCAAAGCATTCCAAAAACAACATATGTCAACAATCTTCTTCTTTTTCTTGGAAGACGCTTTTCTTTTGTCAAAGGATAGATCTAACCTCAAAAAAAATTAAATAATAGCGTTTTCGAGTTTTGCCTCAAACGGCACCCGCTTTATCAGAAAGCGATCCGAAACGGATTCCCATGTTCGGCTTAAAACGGAGCGTTGCTCTCGGCGAGAGAAGAGAGATTTCTTCCCGCACTCAGTGCGGGAAGAGTTTGAAATAATCATTGTGACATGGAATTGTTTGTATTGTTGATACACCTATACCTGTACCTTTACCTTTTTATAAATACCTTTTAATACATTTTTAATTCTACCTTCTGCATAATCGCATTTTATTTAAATTAAACTCTTCGTAACATCAGCTTTAAAAGTATGCTCGTAGAAAAAATATAGTTCCTAACTCTTGCGGGAAGAATAGCTATTGCTGGATTGATGTGTCAATTGTGTCATACTCTACTAGCTCCCCTACCATCAAATGCTGGGATACTCCAGGATCAAGAACACCAACGCCGTTTTCTCGCGTCCACTTTTTTGACATTGGTTCAAACCTGTTTTGAGAAAATTGAACGCGAGAAAACGGCTCTAATTTCTTTTGCGAGAACAGACCGAGAAGCATTTCTACATTTAAAATCGACGAAAAAATTCACTCACTAGCATAGCCTGATTCGTAAGTATTCCATCGAGGTCTGCGGGTGACGTCATCACTATAAGCTGCTAATAGTGACGTCAGTTGCAGGGCCAGAATTTGATTGGGCGGGAGTTAGGGGAGTATGACACAATTGACACATCACATAACCAAGCATAATCAGTAATACTTGTATTCTTCCAAGAGTTTAGAACACTCGAGCTACTCGCTCCGGTGTTAGTCGCCTCCCATTTGAAAGGAACAGATGCGTGATAGTAGTTGTATTCCTTTCCAGAGTTTGAAACACTCGAGCTACTCGCTTCGGTGTTTAGTCGCCCCCGATTTGCAGGGAACAGATGCGTGGTGCAACAAACACTTTTCGAAAGGAATAAACGCGTGAAGTCCCAGAGCTGTTCCGGAGCTCCTCATAGGGGTGAAAGGAATACAACTAATGGCGTGATGCAAGATGCAACAAACCCTTTTCGAAAGGAATAAGCGCGTGACGCCCCGGAGCTGTTCCGGTCTCCAGAGCTCGTAGGTGTGAAAGTAATACTTAACTTAAGAAAACCAGATTATGCTTGATTATCCTCGCGAAAAATTGCCTGTTGTAACGTTTTAGAAGCGTGACATTTCTCCATGTAAAAATGTCATTTTAAGGAATACTTATTGGCTGAGGCATCCTTAAAATAGTCGGTACAAACGGCCATTAATGCTCAGTGTATTTTTACCTCTTTCTCCCAGCCTCCAACCAACACCGAACGGAACCTGTTTTCAGGACTTCGTAGGTTACAAAAATTACCCTGGAACTTCTTCATGCACTAGCTTCTGAAAAAATCTGGGGCAAAAGTAAATTATTTAGTTGGGATTGCACTAGTGCATATTACGAAACATCTTTCATTTCTTGAAATCGTACCTAATAGTACAATATTATTTATTAGCCATTGTCCATTCTAGGCCGAAAAACTCGTACTTAGGGCGGGTATTATAAAACTACTTTGAGAGTTAACTTAAAGTTAACTTCTGAAAATACATGTAATTCAAAAAGTTAACTTCAAGTTAACTCTCACAGCAGTTCTATAATACCCGCCCTTAGGGCAACTGTTTAATTCATAATTCCAACTCAAATTAGTAAATTGTTAAATGCATTATAAGTACTCTTCATATTCTCTTTTCACCATTAAATGTCATTATATCTGAAGGTAATTAAGTTTTGCAATAATGTTCCATTTATAAAACACTCGAGTTATTACTATTTAAGGCAATAAAGTTCCACTGTTAAATTAAAAGTCAAAAGTTTTTCTAGTAATACAATCCTCAAGTTTATAAATTCAAAAGTATTTCTAGTAAAAATCACTCAGTTTGTTTTTATGCAATGAAAGTCAGAGTTTAATCACACAAAGTCATGTTCATCAAAAATAAATCTTGTCACTATAAAGTACTTACATTTTGTCCATAAAACACACGTAAAATTACTTAATTAATTACTCAAAATATTTTGCTAGCACGCACATAAATTATTGAACGAATTCCAAATGTTATTACTTCTACGATTTTCCGTAAATTTTCTAAGTTAAATTATACCCGATGCAAAACGCCATAAAGGTAACTTTTCGCGAAACTGGGCAGACATAAGGTCTGTTCCCACAGGAGTCTCTGACAGTTTGCAAACTGTCGGTAAGCATCGCCCATGCATGTTTTCAATGCTGTGGTTACAAGATAAAACTGTAACTCAGCTGAGCGATTGTTTCTGACAGTTTGCAAACTGACAGAGACTCCTGTGGGAACAGACCTTTTACCTCAAACTGGACTGGACTGTTCTTTTTTGGCCACTGTTTCCGCGGTTTTTATATCAATTCCATCTCCCCGCAAAATATTATTAATTATCCCCCAAATCGTCAATATAGGCGGTCGTTTGCGTAGCAATCCGAATTCCATTGGCCAAACTAATTATTATTAAAAATAATGATGCAATTTCCTTGGAATTTTACATCCTTTTTTAGCCTGGAAACGATTAATTATGTCGCAATAATCTGATTTATTGAGGTCGAAGACATTATGGGTTCAAGAATGCCATAATTCATTTATAATTACTTGGCCTTGCTCTTTTTAAGTTCATTGATCTAGGAGATGACACAAGCATGATGACGAAACACCTAATATAATATTAAACGTTAATTTGTTTAATTTTAATTTATCGATACAGATTTAAAAATACCGGAATTAAATTTTGATTATTTGATAAATTTTAATTTTTACAGTAAAGACTTTGTAATTATCGGGTCAAATTTCTGGATCATCACACTGGCAACAGTGGCAACCCTAGTTCCGCCAGCCTTTTGGACCAGTATTAGGGCGGGTATTATAAAACTACTTTGAGAGTTAACTTCTGGAATGGCAGCAAATATCCAGTTAAGTTCCTCAAAATTTTGTAGAGGGCGCGAGTGAAATTGGAGTGTTTTAAATTTTGGCGGTAAATGTCAATAGTTTAAAACTGATTAAATTGAGTAGAAAGTAAGATGTCTACCTATGAACAATGGACAATGGATAAGTTAAAATATCTTCTAAAGCGTTCAGGTGGCCCTTAGAGAATATTTTTAAAAGTGTCAGCCTCAGCTTGTCTTGAAACCACACATCAAACTTCAGTTTTGAGGTTAGAATTAAATCGAATTTTTACGCGCCAAAATTTAAAGAGATCCAAGTACAGAGCGCCCTCTTCAACTCAACTGTCAATATTACAAGACATGTATTTCAAAAAGTTAACTTCAAGTTAACTGTCAAAGCAGTTTTATAAAACCCACCCTTAGGGCGGGTATTATAAAACTACTTTGAGAGTTAACTTGAAGTTAACTTCTGGAATTACATGTATTTCAAAAAGTTAACTTCAAGTTAACTGTCAAAGCAGTTTTATAATACCCGCCCTTAGGGCGGGTATTTAACTTTAAGTTAACTCTCAAAGTAGTTTTATAATACCCGCCCTTAGTTGTATTCCTTTCAAGTGTTTGAAACACTCGAGCTACTCGCTCCGGTGTTCAGTCGCCCCCGATTTGCAGGGAATAGAAGCGTGGCGCAACAAACACTTTCCGAAAGGAAAAAGCGCGTGAAGCCCCGGAGCTGTTCCGGAGCTCCTCCTAGGTGTGAAAGGAATACAACTATTATGTGTGAAAAAATTCATCAATAGTTTATAAAGTATTCTAATATGAGGGAGGAGTCACAGCACAGGTAGAGGGGTTTATCCCATGATGTTTATCCCAATTCCAATAGTTGTATTCCTTTCAAGAGTTTGAAACACTCGAGCTACTCGCTCCGGTGCTCAGTCGCCCCCGATTTGCAGGAAACAGATGCGTGGTGCAACAAACACTTTTCGAAAGGAATAAGCGCGTGAAGGCCCGGAGCTGTTCTGGAGCTTCTACTAGAGTTGAGTTCGGAATGGAATTTTAGTGCAGTGCTAGTGCGGTGTTCGTGTAGTGTAGTGTTGTATCACGTGATGAAGGTGTAATCGGCGGTGTAACACCAAATACACCATCACTTTGTAACGAGTGAACAGTGTCCCACCATATTTACACCATTTAGACACCAAATCATTTACAAACGCAAATAAAGTGTACACCAAACTTACTCCTACCAATTAACGAACGCCACAGTGTCAATAGTGTAAAAAGTGTCGACACTTTCTACCATTTCAAACTCAGCTTAGGTGTGAAAGGAATACAACTAATGACATTTTAGGTTTGTTCGCACTGAAATCACAAACCAGTCAGAGCGAATTTCATTGGTTGAAAACAGTCAGAAAACTAGTTTCAACTCAACCAATGAAATTCACTCTGACCGGTATGTGATTTCTGTGCGAACAGACCTATTATTAATACAGATGGACATTACAATATACAAAATTTTGTGTCGCCAACATCTATGAGAGCACACCGGTGTATCCCCTCCAATATGGTTGCCAAATTGTTACGGATTGATATATTAGCGTATTATGATGTTACATGACTTTGCTTCAAAAAGTTGGAGGTTCAACGACTACTGGCAACGTCGGTTCAGTAAGACTGGCGGAACCATTGGGCGGAACACACTTGCAACCGACATCCAGGCGAGAAAGGGCATGCTGCCTACGTCACAACTGGTGATGAGGAGGGAGAGGAGGGATTTGTTTCACACAGGCCTTATGAGGATATGCTATCATCCTTTAGTAGTAGTGTGTATTATCCTTGAATACTATCGAACATCGAGTACTGCGACTGACGTCACGTGCCGTCAGTCGCAGTCCTCGACCGGATTGTTTCTATTGAGACTTGGCAAGATTCGAAACGGGAAAAGATTCACTACTTAATTTAAATTTTTGCTAGTTAAGAAAGATAATTAGAATGAATTACAGATAATATTTAAAAGCCAAATTTACCAAACAGTATGGAAAAAAAATCTACGTGAAGAGAGGAAACTAGAAAGTTTATGCCATAAAGTACAAGGCTTTTATACAGGGTACAGGGTGTCCGGAAAATAGCGTAAAAGCTCTCCACTACGTAGTAGGGGACCCTTTGAGTAACCCTAGAAAAATAATTAAAAAAATCCTCCTCAACCATTCTTGGAAATATGAAGAGATAAATGTGGAAATTCAACTTCCTTATTTTTGATTTTTTTTCAAATTACAATATTTCGTACAAAGTGTTAGGTATCTTTTGTTAATTCATTACACAATGGTTTATAAAAAGGACCCCGCAATATTTAAATGGAAATTGGTTACCCATGATATTTGGATGAAATTTAAATATGTTATTGGGGATGCCGTAAGCAACATTTTTTACCATGGGCACAACCCTGTATATATGACAGGTGAGGCGTGGTTAGCTGTCAAATATTGGAATATTATATCCAAAAGAAGAGTGACTATGACAGATTTTGATGAACGAAGTATCGATGTTTACTAAGTCGACCAAGTTAAGTCGAAAAATGTCAATCATTTTGACACCTGTCAAAACCCTGCCAAACGGCAGCACTCATCTTTTCCCGTTTTCAATATTTCATGATGTCATTTGACACTTTTAACTTGTATATAAATTCTGAATTCAAAAATTGAAAAAAAAAATGACAGAACTGTCAAAACCTGTCATTTGTTTTAGTAGAAAAAAATACTCTAATCTGATTCTTTTTTGTTTCAAGATAGTTTATTGGTGATAAAACATTAAACAAAGTTCATGCATGTCACATTTTGACAACTGTCAGAATCTGTTAATAGATTTTTGGTTCATATTTAGTTTGTTTGCTTAGTGAAGGTTTAGTTCTATTGTATTATTCTATCATTGTAGTTGTAGAACTTCACTAAGCAAACAAACTCAATATGAACCAAAAAGCAAGAACAGATTCTGACAGTTGTCAAAATGTGACATGCATGAACTTTGTTTAATGTTTTATCACCAATAAACTGCCTTGAAACAAAAAAGAATCAGATTAGAGTATTTTTTTCTACTAAAACAAATGACAGGTTTTGACAGTTCTGTCATTTTTTTTTCAATTTTTGACTTCAGAATTTACATACAAGTTAAAAGTGTCAAATGACATCATGAAATATTGAAAACTGGAAAAGATGAGTGCGGCCGTTTGACAGGGTTTTGGAAGGTGTGAAAATGGTTGACTTTTTCGACTTACTTTGTCGACTTAGTAGAAATAGAATTTTTGTTCATCAAAATCTGCCATAGTTACTCTGCTTTTGGATATAAGATTTCAATATTTGAAAGCTAACCACGCCTCACCTGTCATATATACAGGGTTGTGCCCATGGTAAAAAAAGTTGCATACGGCAGCCCGGAAATTTCATCCAAATATCACGGGTAACCAATTTCCATTTAAATATTGCGGGGTCCTTTGTTGTTAACCTTTGAAACGCATCATGAAAATTGCAAAATCTCTAAATTACAACGGGAAAAATTGATCTGACAACATTTTTTAGTCACCTTCGAATTTTTCAGGTTATACAACTCACTGTACATTATTCTCATATGACACGAGAGGCTTAATAAGTGATAAGCCTTTTGGGATTATCGCGCTTGGTGGCATTTATGGCAAATTCTATTATAGTTTTTTTTTTTTAAATTTCAAAGTATTAAACTTTAGTTCGTTGTATAATCGAATGTAATACCACTCGATGTTTCAGGATTACCTAATACTTTCACCTGACACTCAACGCGTTACCAGCAACACCACTCCTCCTTCGGAGTCGTGGTGTTGCTGCGTAACGCGTTTCGTGACAGGTAAAAGTATTGTCCGGTAATCCTGGAACCTCTTGTGGTATTACATTCGATAATTACACAGGTATTCAATTTGATTCTGTGACAAATTTCCAACGGGATATTTCCAGTGTTGCCAATTTTAATAAAAATTAAAATGCTAATAAGTTTCTTAAAAATGCCACCACACAGATTTTGAATATTTTTTTTATTTTCTACTAGTAGTATTAAAAAAAATTCTATATATTCCTCGGTAGAGAAAGTCATTATATACCTTACACATTATATATAAATTGCTCGGTATATAATGACCAACTTCTCTACCTAGGTATATAATATACTATTATTTGAAAATGACTGCTATAGAAGTTAAGTAATTTTATTTTATTTATTCTCAGAGTTAATAAATCTGATTTTTGTCTTATATCAGGTTTAGAAGAATTCCTTATTGTGGTGGAAGATGATTCACCTGCAAGTATGCAAGTTATTTTGATTTTGTTATTTTCATCTTGTGTTGTGAGTACTACTAGTTCAAAAAACGTTCCAACAAGTTTTTAAGTTATTTAGTATAATATTACTGTTTTTGATTGCGCAGTCGCATTAGCGCGGTTACGGACGATAATATTACAGTAATATTATTGCAGGTTGGAACAAACCTTATCTCTACTTCTGCGTTTTCTCAAATTTCTCAACAGAGAAAATTTAAGAGCTTGGAATAGAAACAAAATAGGTACTTTGTCTGGCCATTTTTTCTCAATTCCTCTTTTTCCTTTCTTTGAGTGAAATTTACCTAAAGTTTGTTTTTTATTTAATGATAATTCCCCAATTCAAAAATTTAGTAACTATGTTGGCAGCACAAGCCTTTTCTACGTAAAAAATTTGAAAGCATTGACAATTTTACATTGTATTGCCAACATAATGTCATTTTGACTTTTATCTTTAAAAAAAAAAACAGACTTTAGCGGCAGAGTTGGTTAAGAAAAGCTACATCCTCAATCAATCTGGTAGCGAAGTGGCACTTTGGCACGCGTGCTGGAAAATTTATACCCATCCTCAATGCTGTCAATTTTCAGTCTGCTGTGCGTGTAGTACGGTCACATACTGTGCATTCGGTATTTTGATCTGAGTTCTCTGAGCATGAATTTACCGTTCGTTTATTCAAAAAGTGTACTTGGTACTCGGTGCAGGCTCATTCACGTTTGTTTAATAAAATGTCGAGCCCTGTGATACAGCGTTTAACTGCTCTGTGCGCTCGCTGTTCACGTGATTACGGCTCCGCTCTGCTCTTTGAGCAAAATACTGAACGCAAGGATAACCTAAATTATTTTTTACTGTACTGCGCATGACATAAGTCGGCACGCATTGAAAAAGCTTGCAGCTTGCAACCTTCACTTCAGAGTCGACGTGCATGCCAGCACGGAATTGAATTGAGGATGCCAACGTTAAACAACATTTCCCTAGCTTGCGTGCCGAAGTGCCACTTCGCTACTAAATTGATTGAGGATGAGCCTAAAGAGTGCACACTGGGTAGCACCCTGGCTATTTTCGAACTAGCGTGAAAGTCAACCGGAGTTTATACCAGTTCATTTTCGAACGGCTGGTGTGCACCCGGTGTGACGCCCAGAGCGATTTCGAACGCTCTCCAAGGGCGCGTTTGGGTTGACGCTCGGTGCACTCAGAGCTTGCACTTTTGTCTCTTTTCCGGTATTTTTGAAGCTCCGACAACGCTTGATTGTGTTTGGTTTGACATATTTTGAGCGCTCAGAGCGAGCTCGATAAACCCCGAGTTTGCGGAGTGGGCAGCTGGAGCGTGCATGCGCAGATCAGATGTGTTCAATCTGTCTGTATAACCTAACCTATTTTCCATGATAAGATAAATAAACAATCCTGAATTTTAACATATATTGTTAGCTGGATAGTTTCACCTATTTTGTTTAAATGTTAACAATCAAATAGCTAGTAAATTCTGCATAATTATTTATTATGGCGTTTCCGATTGGTGGATTCAGTGCGCACTGAGTGTATTTGCATCCTTATAATCGACCTGTGGAAGAAGAAGACAGAAATAGAAAAAATTGCACTAGTTCTACACTAGATCTACCAATCGGAAACGCCATTAGTTTGTTCTTGATCCTGGATCATAAGCTTTGTTCCAACCCAGTATGGAACCGGTACATTTCACCGTCAGGATTCTGCACAGAACGTGAAATTTGTGCGTAGAATCCAAAATTCCTACACAGAGTAGTTCCGAAACCGTTCCGGAACGGTTTTTCGAGGGCGTATCGATATAGATATCGATATATCTTGTCGATAAGCCCTTCTCTACTTACAGGTCGAGTGGGCAATAGAAATTTTTATAATTTAAAAAAAAAGTTGTTTGCCAACAAAGCAGAAAAAATTCAATAAGTTAAACATTATTAACTTATGAGTAGACTCAAAGAAAATGCAAGTTCTTGAATGAAAAATTAGTAAATAATGGCTGAAAAAGTGATTAATATGGAGAAAAAGTATATATATTTTTTTTTTACCAAAAAACTACAAAACTAATATTACCCTACTTTGGCTAGTTTTAGGTATACATTGTTTGGAATCGTCCTACTACTTACCTTTTCAACTAGGTTTTATAAAATTAAAGAACCAGATCATGTATGGTAAGTTAAGTCACTATCCTAGTAAAAGGGGTCACTGATGTTTATAGAGAATACACTTAAGTTCTTAATCTTTCCCATACTCCTTTTCCTTTTGCTATTATATTTCATAAAAATAGCTCAGAGTTCACTTAATTTTTTAGTTGGGATGAAACACATTTTGGCAAAATGGGAAGCTGGTACATAAACCGAACGTTTTTCTTTGATGTTCATCCTCCTTTAGGAAAAGTACTCCAGCACATTTTCTTTAAATTTCATCTAAAAGATTATATTCTAGATGCTGATAGGCCTTTCTGGTTATCTAACAGGCTATGATGGTACATTTCCTTTTGACAAACCAGGAGATAAATATGAAAACACAAGTTATGTAGGAATGAGAGTATTCTGTGCCAGTCTAGGATCGACTATTGTTCCTATGACTTTTTTAGCTGTAGACCAAATGACTGGTAGTCCAACAGCAGCACTATTTTCATCTCTGTTGATTTTACTTGGTAAATTTCTATATAAATAACTAGTCCTATTAACTAAAACAGTATTTTTCAGATGTAGGACTTATCACACTAACCCAGTACATCCTCCTAGACCCGATTTTATTATGTTTCATGATGGGTTCGATATTGGGAGCAATCAAAGTATCCTACAACAGTTCCAGGGAATTTTCCTGGCAGTGGTGGTCCTGGCTTATATTTACAGGAACAATGCTGGCTTGTACTATATCTGTGAAATTTGTAGGCCTGTTTATTGTGTTGTTAGTCGGTCTTCTAACTATTGCAGATTTATGGAATATTCTGGGTGATATGACCAGACCTGTGGTAAGTAGAATTAATCTTGTTGGTCGATTTTTACTCGTTCTTATTGGAACAAGCCTTTTGATGAAAATAAATAAAACAAATACAATACTTATGCTGTCATCTATGTCTGTCCATCAAATAAATCATACTCGGACATCAAGGTCTAGTTTGAAATTCATAGGGTAAAATGTTAACACCATTTATTTTCAACCCCTATGGACTAAAACTTGCACAAACCCTATTAACCTTGCTATCAACTCATGAAAAGCTACCCCCCCCTTCTCTCTTCTCTCGTACCTATGACTAAATAATAATAAAATGTGAATAAAATATGTTCGTTGGACGGAACTTCGATGCCCTCCCCTATTGTTTTCATCTAAACTTGAAAGTCCAAGTTAGAAAATAATACGAAAATATGAATTTTTATGCATTTCTATTTGTTAAGGGTAGTTTTTCATATTCCAACAGGTTTTGAGTCAATGGGTTTAGCAGAGGGGTTAGAAATAGTGTTAAAATGGTACCCTATTAATTTCATGGCTCAGATGACTAGGCTTGATGTCCACGTTATAAAAAGACAAGAAAATCTGAATATTTATGTATTTTATTTGTTAAAAGGGGTAGTTTTTCATATTTAAACGGGGTTTGAGACAATTAGATTTTGCATAGGAGTTGGAAATGGTGTTGAAATAGTACCCTAATAATTTCATGGCAAGAATCCATGTTCAAGTATGATTTATTCGATTTATTTTGAATTAAAAAATGGTACGCCATTGGTCGTTAGAGTTTCAGTCTAACCGGCTGAAAAAAAAGTTAGCTATTTTTAATTTTTATACACTTGTTGCATAAATAGCTATTTTAAAAATGTGCGCAATTTTATCTATTGTATTAGCAAATGGCATTTGTGGGCTGGGTGGAATTTTTTAACAGTTAATCTGCAATAGTTACCAGAGCTGCTTTCGGGTGCCACCCTTTGAGCGCTCCCGAGTTACTCCGAAGTACTCCGGCTACAGTTTGACCCATTCAGTTTCAAGCGTTCGAATGCAAAATAGTCCGTCGGATGCAGCGCCAAAAGCCTTCTAGTTTTCGAGTTAAAAAAAGTTACTACCAACCAGATGATACCTTTACCATTTGAAAAAGCTTTTTTTACATAGGAAATGGAAATTGTCGACACTCTCCATTGGTCCAGATGAAAGATATAGGGAAAAAACTGGATAAATTATGAATATAGTTTTTTTCACTTTGAACCCGCATAACTGTTGTTCAACGCAAGGTAGAAACAAGTTTTTTTTTTAAATTCGATTCCTCATTCAATTTTCTTTCTTTTGGTATATAATTATTTCCAAAAATTCAGTCAACAAGTTCAGTATTGTGTGGTTTTGAAGAAATAGTGTTACAAACTTCAAGGGCAGATAGTATTCATGAAAATAATTAAAAAAGTTCCTATGGATATAGGTCCGGAAACGCTTTGTTTCCAAGATACAGGGTGATACGTTTTTCAAAAAAAATAGTTTTTCTACTACCATGCGTAAAGTACTCACTTTACGCACTATTCAGAAGATGTAAAATTTCACTTCACACACTAGTGCGTAAAGTAATGTCAATGACAGATGTCAACACTGTCAATTTGGCATATTTCTGGTAAATTACTTCACACACTAGTGGGTAAAGTGAAAATTCTTCACGCACTAGTGCGTAAAGTATTTGTCCAAATTTATTTTTTTACAAATATTTGATTGGTATTAGAAAAAATTTTGTATGCAATACGTGCGTAAAGCACCTTTTTCACTCATGTGATTGTTACACTCGCCTTCGGCTCGTGCGTCAAAATTCATATTCGTGAAAAAAGGTTCACTTTACACAGTTGTTGCATAAATAACTATTTTCGTTAATGGTCCAAAAGAGCTTTGGCCGATTTCAATAAAATTTTCACGGTTTATTTGAACCATTCAAAATCAAAAAATCAAAATCATTTTCAAAATCAAAATCATTTATTCATGCCAGCACACATTAAAATGTTTACATACGTCAAAAATAGATTACACACCGAGTAAATTGTGATACAAACTAAACATAGATGAAACTAGACATTTTTCCTATAATAGTAAAAAAAAACATTAAGTAAAAATACATTAAAATACGCAGTACATTTAAAATCTAAATTCAACAAACTCATGGAATGAATAAAAACTGTTCTTTAGAAGAATCTCTTTAACTTTTTTATGAAAGGCATTGTAGGGCAACTCTTTGATATTTTGTGGCAGAGCATTAAAAAATTTGATTGCCCAATAACCCGGGCCGTCTCGACACCTTCTGAGGCGCCAATATAAAGGAACAAGTTTATTTTTGTTCCTGGTGTTATAGTGGTGAGTATCTTCATGCTGCTGATAGTTTGAACTTTTCTTTGCGAAAAGCAGATTCTGAAGTATATACAAGGATGGCACTGTGAGTATTCCCAAGGAAACAAAAGCCTCCCTACAGTCATCCCTATATTTGAGGCCTGCCATCACTCTCACCACTCTTCGCTGTGCTGCAAACAATCTACAGACCCCCGCAGAGTGTCCCCAGGCCAGAATTGCATAGGATACATGCGAATGAAAAACTGCAAAATATGCCATTCTCAGAACAGGCAAAGAGACACAAGCTGATAGGTTCCGAATGACATACACGCCCTTTGTCAGTTTCTTGGCGACATGATCGATATGAGGTCCCCACTGCAGTTTTGGATCCAGTGTGACACCTAGGAACACTGCGCCCTCAAGAACATCCCCACATTCAGCAACATCCCTCATTGTGAAAATCATTCTCTTGGTCTTCTCTTTGTTCAACAATAGCCTGTTCGACGCAAACCATGTTTCAGCCCTCGCTTGCGCGTCCATGGATCCAGCGTATGCAGAGTCCAGGGTGTCCCCAACACATGAAATAGTGGTGTCATCAGCATAGAGGGTGAAATGTTCGTTGGCGCCATTTGCTGGTAAGTCATTGATGTAAATAAGAAAGAGAATGGGACCCAAAATGGAACCCTGTGGGACACCTATATTCATCAACCTCTCTGCTGATGTCACCCCATCACGTCTCACGCTCTGGCGCCTGTTGTCAAGATAGGACTTTATCAGTTCGATGCTGCTGGGCTGAAAATTGTATGCTACAAGCTTTTGCAGGAGGATGCCATGGTCGACGCAGTCGAACGCTTTGCTAAGGTCACAAAACAAGATTGTACTATATTGCTTATCCTGAAAAGCGTCCACAATGACCGAGATGAGCTCCAAGATACCCATTACTGTACTTCTACCCTGGCGAAAACCAAATTGGTAAGGTGAGAAAAGATCACTGGATTCGAAAAATTTGGCCAGCCGCAGAGCCATGCATTTTTCAAATATTTTAGAAATGATTGGCAATAGGGATATCGGTCTGTAGTTTTCAGGTAAGTTAGCATCGCCTTTTTTAAAGATGGGAATTACCAAGGCTTTTTTCAGAATGTCCGGGAAAACATTTTCTCTAAAACCCAAATTAATAAGCTTTGTTAAAGGTATTAAAATGATGTTCTTGATGGTTTTGATAATTTTAATATTAAGACCAAAAATATCTCGGCTATTTTTCATTCTAAGGCTGTCAATAACGTCGCGCACTTCGTGATATGTTACTTGTGAGAAAATAAAAGAGACCTGAGGTGGATCAAGTCTAGCTAGATATGAGTTTGGTGGATTATCTACTTTTGGAATGCCCCCAACTACATTCTCAGCAATGCTAGAGAAAAAGTTATTGAAGTCGTTTGGTGACAAGTTAGTGACGTCTGTCGATTTCTCCGGTTTTCCCCTTTGCGCGTTAATTATTTGCCAGATGGTTTTAGTTGGATTGTTAGAGTTATGTATCAGATTGTCATTAGACTGCATTTTAGCTTGTCTGATTGCCTTTTTATAAACGGTTTTGTAGTTCTTATAATCTTGAATACTCCCATGACCGTACTGCCGACTCAGATCTCTCAGAAACATCAGTCGTTCCCGCATTGCCCTCAGCTCCTCACTGAACCAGGAAATATTATTTCCCTGGTCAGATCTGACTTTATAGGACTTTTCAGGAAATGAGTGCAGGTAGGCCTGCTCCAAGATATACATGAATTTATTAAATTTCTCGTTTGTGTCCGTGCCCTCCATGGTGACAAAGTCCCAGGACTCAGCACCCAACAACTCATGGAATGCAAACAGGCCTTGCTGAGTAATAGGCCGGCACACCTTTTTTTTTTCGTGAACTTTTGAGGTATCTTCTATTGAGAGCTCCAAGATCTGACCCCGATGATCTGAAAATACCAAGTCAACAATCCTAGCACAGCATATCTCGATTCCCGAACTGACGAACAAATTGTCTAGGCAGGAACCTTCACGAGTGGGTCCATAGATTGTCTGCACCAAACCGAAGCCCCCAAAAAGGTCAACAAGTCTCACACAAGCAGCCTCAGAAGTATTTAAATGGACATTGAAGTCCCCCGCTATTACCACTTGTTTTGAGGAACCTAGTTTTGTAAGTAGGTCCTCAAGTACCCCTGTGAAAGTGTCAAGACATCCCGAGGGAGACCTATAAACACTTAAAATAAATACATTTAGGCTGTCAACATATACACAACATGATTCTATACATTTCTCAATATTAAAGCTTATATTTACGTCATTTGCGACTAAAAAGTCTCTGGTGAATACGGCAGTGCCGCCTCCAACTGACTCACCTCTTGAGGAGTAGCTTCTGAGTGAGTAGCCCTGTATTTTGGTCGCCTGCATCTCGTCTTTGGTTAACCAATGTTCTGTCAGACAAATGATATCTATGTCCTTGTCTGCGATAAAAGCTTCCATTTCATCCACCTTCCTTCTCAGAGAACGTAAATTAATATGGAGGATTTTTATCTTCCGCTTGGATGGACTGCTGTTACCTGGTTTTGGCTCTGGATGTTCCGAAAATGGTTAATAACTGATCCTGTGGGCCACAGGCTAGGTGTCAGATATTTATTAACATCCGTCTGCGGAACTGCTAGC